GTTGGTGGACCCTTAGTTTTGCATTTCTTCTTGGATGCTCGTGCATCATTATTTAATGTCATCGCACTTCTTAAAATAAGACTTTCAGGATGTGATTACCTATTTCAATTCTCATTCTTGTTAACTCTAGCCTCCCTAGTCCCTACAGAGAGAGCAGATGCTTATTATCGGGCAATGGTCATTTAGTGTGGATTGGCTGAACCCAGTACGGAGGTTTCTATTGTGAACTTTGTAAATTTGATGTTCACCAGAAATATGGAGTCTGTAATTGGAACATTTTTCTGTTTAGTTATTGGAATCCTTAGTTTATTTCTTCTCTTCTCATTAGAATTTCTCATGGCAGGAGAGGTGAAGAGCATTCCTTTATTCTTAAACCAGCAACATCCCTGTGGAAGAATCTCAAGGCTGGTGGTGATAGAAGAACTCAATCATCACAACTGCAGGCTGGAAATGCAGCATCAAGTTTGCGTCCGCCATCCAAGGCTGTCGAATTAAAGAGGAGTGCTTCAACTGCTGATCAGTATGCAATTATGGTATCATGTCGGTGCAACTACACTGGTAATTATATTCCTTTTAGTGTACCCTATTTGGAGAACCTAAGTTATTCGTTTCTAATTCTTCTTCTTTTATGTTACATTTGTAGAGTCGAGATTATTTTTCAAACAGCCAACAAGTTGGCAGCCACGTGTTTCAAGGGATCTTATGATCTCTGTTGCATCTGAAATGTCTGGACAATCTAGTGCACCCAGTGGAGGGGTCTCTCAGCTTCCTGTTCAGGTTTCATACACTTAGTAGTTCATATGCATATGTCGTGTTTTCTTCTTTTTTACCTTTTATAATCACATTTCATCAAATTTTTCAATTTGCAGGTCTTAACTCTTCAGGTTTCAAATCTAATGTCAGAAGATCTAACTCTGACGGTTCTTGCTCCAGCTTCATTCACTTCCCCTCCTTCAGTGGTCTCCTTGAATTCTTCACCTTCTTCACCAATGAGTCCATTTGTTGGTTTTCCTGAGTTTACAGGAAGGAGTCCTACAATGCAGAGGCTAAGCTCACCACACCTTTCATCAGAGAATCAGAAACAAAACGGTAAAGGTGGAGTTTGGCCAGCTTCTTTCAACGAACAGGCTTCTCCAATATCTGATGCCATTCCTAGTAATGGTTTGTGTTGTACACATCTGTGGCTTCAGAGTAGAGTTCCACTGGGGTAATACTTCCATCTTTTTTCTTTTTCCTTTTTCATAGATATTCCAATTATTATAATTTTCTATGGTCACATCAGATGCGTTCCCTCCCAATCTATGGCAACCATCAAGCTTGAGCTACTTCCATTGACTGATGGCATAATTACACTGGACACACTACAAATTGATGTCAAGGAAAAAGGTACTCATCCTATTATTTCTACTATTTTCTTTTTACACGCATCCTTGTCAGAAGAATGCTTATTGAGTGGACTCTATTAGGCTGTTAATATAATCAATAAAGAATTAGTATACCAGAAGACACTTGGGCTGGTCTTCTGCACTTTCTGGTTCCTCCATCAAAACAATAATTTCGGAGGGTTACCCTTAATTAAATGAAAAAATCCAACTGTCGAATTTTTTCTGATGGAGTATCATGTTCTGGCATAACAGGTCTTACTTATATACCGGAGTACTCACTGAAGATTAACGCGACTTCCAGCATTTCAACTGGGATTATTTAGGAAATATCTAGTGCGCCGTGCATTTCTTTCAACATCTTATACTGAACCATGAAGGAATTTTTGAACTGTCGCTTGTGTGGCGATCAAGCATCGGGTGCATAACAACAGGCACCGAGGTTTCCCTTGGCCTCGTTTAGTTGGAATTCTCATGTCAATTCGTTCTAGTAGAAATATAAGGTCACAGTGTGTGTTGTAGACCGTGGTTTGAGAATAGGGATTGTTTGATAACCCTTTACCCCTTCCAGTGGGTGACTGTATTCTCTGTAGATGAATCTACTTGTGTGATATGTAATCATTTAATACAGAAAAAATTGTGTAGCTTCTTATTGAATTGACTCTTTGTTTTCCATTCAAAAATTAATTTCAAGTTTTTATTTTTACTTCTTCCAATGTTGTGTTAGTTTAACGGTCCTAAACACAAGGACCAAATTGGCCAAATTAAGAATACAGGGAATAAATTGGCCAATGTTGCAAAAAATGTGGACCATTTTGACATTTAACCCTAAAATAAAACCGATATTCAATTAAATTTGCTAAGAGTGAGGTGCCGCCCTATTCTTCTCTTGAATCTATTTTTCTCTACCTGTTGTGAAGTGATGTCAACCCCTTATGATTTGATGCTTTTTACAAGGATTTCCTACCATGTGTCCATATTCCAAATGTAGACTTTGCTAATCTATAAAATATGGCAGTGCAAATGATAAAATATTATCTTTCTTTTTTTAATCTACACTTAAAATAATGGGTTAGCAAAGAAAAATCATAAAATAATTGTAATGCCTGAAAATGCAGGCAGATGATATTGAGTGGGTGCTGCTCATCTTCAATTTGTTACCAATAGCATGATATAGGACAGGGTGGCCTAATCTACCCCAAATCATTTTTTTGAGTACCAATCATATGTGATTATTAATATGAGATATTTAGTCAAATACCCATTCTTGGCACTAAAACTATAAATAAACCCTACATCATTTAATTTCTATAAACATACCCAAAAAATGACAGTTGGCCATATTGAATTTAATTTTAATTATTAAATTACTTTGATGCCCTATTAAGTGTTTTGAGCTTTTTTATGAGGTTTTTGGGTTGGGTTTGTTTTAAGAAATCAATGACAGTTTTGTAATTTAAAAGAAGTTACAAGCTTTTTTGTTATGTTGTAAATGGACGTTGGGTGTGTTTCTAAAGTCCATTTCATATAGGGCTTTTTTATAATTTGAGCTCCTATATTGGGTTTTATAGTGAATCTCCCTAATAATATCATGTAATTATTCTCATGTGTTATAATTAGGTAGAAACTTTAAAGTGGAACATGAGTTTTAGATCAGAGTGTTGCAAGAAGCTCTATCTTTGTACTCAAAGTAGTGAGAAATTGGAATTTGAGAAATAGTTCTGTTACATCTAGAATATATTACAACAAAATTTTGGACCCAACTAATTTAGTCATGGCTCTGATCTCGTCAGAGAAGAAAAAAGATGATCACTATCAAGTCCCACCCAAAAAAAAAAACACCATCATCGAAAGGCAGGCACAACATTCTTATTCGCCATTTCAATGAGTATATTATAGTAATTAAGAGCAATTAATAATAATAGTAATAATTAACATATTGGATATTTGGAAGTCAATCTCTGTGTTGCATGCGAGATTTCTTAAACCAATGAACAAGCTCTTATATTAATAATCTTAATATTCTCGTTGAATTTAATTTAGCTCTTGATAAGTATAATTCTCCAAGCCACTCTTTCACTCTGTTTTTGAGAGTACAAATGATGCAAAAATTCAAAAAAAATATATATATATATATATATACCTATTAAACACTGTTCATATTTTATACATAATTCATATTGTTATTGCATTATCTACATCCCATGCCTTCAATAATTGATTACCCTTCAGCAATACAAAATTACCAAGAAAATCTTATAAAACCAATATTATTTTTTTTGTTCCAAGCATTTTTTTCCTTTTTCAAAGATATTGCTCTCCTCTTTCAGCTCATTCCTACAAATTACGGTTTGATACATGTGCAAAAATTATTCATAAAAAACACACATACAAATTTATACACACACGTCATACTACTATTGGTTGACAGTAATATATGAGTTCCTATTTATAGCGGAAGGAGGAAAGTGTTTTCCCAATTTCAAAGCGATTTTTTTTTAATGGGTTTTAAATAAATTCCATATTAGAAGACAGATTCTAAAATATTTTTCATGTTTTAATATATATATATAGTAAATTCACTTTTTTTTCATATTAAAAAATTAAAAGAAAAATTATATAATAAATTATATTTTATAGAACACAACTATTTATTATTTTTTTAATTATAAAATAAATTTATAATTATATAATTATAAATAAAATAAAATAAACCTTTCGCAAGCGTAATACCAAGAGGCCAATATATATAAAACAAGGGAAAATTAGGGGAAAAAAAGAGATGAGAATAAGAATGCATTGCAGCGGCTTGTAGTAGTGATGATATCAACCTGACGCGCGCGTTTCCGTCCGCCCACCCAAGCTAGACACGTCACCATCTCAGTGGGTCCGGCCTCTCTCTTTCTCTCTCCTGCCCGCTGTCCCCATTTTTCCACTTCTCTCTCTGACCGAACTGCCCGGCCCCTACTCCCCCACCCCTTTTCCCAAGCCTCAATGCCATGCACCTCGTACGATCAGCAACATAACGGGCAGTCCGGGCACCTATACTCCCTGCCCGTTTTCTCCGGGCAGCTCGATTTGCTTTTTTCTAGTCTTCGGTTCAATTGAAAATAGGGAAAAAAAGAAGAGAGAGAATCGATAATTCAGAGTATTATAAGTTTATAACGATATTTTGGAAAATATATAAATTTTTTTCACCCCACTTTAAACTGGTCAGCTTGTGGGAGTTCATTTCTGAGATTTATGAGTCTTTGAGCAGACATTTCTGGGTTAAACTGAAATTTGGTTGTTCCTATCTGTTAAAAACGGACACTTGCTCCTTGGTTTTTGTCTTTTTCCTCACTAGCTGATCAATTTTTAGCTTCAAGGGTTTGTCAAGTTTGATCTACTTTCCGTGTGATCTAGCTCTTTCTCAGCTGGGTCATCCTTTTTTCCACCAAATTAAGTTGGGTTTTGAGGAAACTTTGGAAATTTCAGAGCTTTTTGGTGATTTTTTATATGGGTTGTGTGGAGGGCTAGAGGCAGTTTTTGACTGGTTTTGTTGTGGGGGTGGGAGGGTTGGTGGTTGGGTTTTTTATTTTATGGTATCTGAATTTCATTCTTTAGGGTTTGTGAAAGATGGGTTTGGGAGCTGAGAATGGTAAAGTGGAGTCTTGGAGCATGTGCAAATCGAAGGTGAGGAAGAAGAAGAAGAAAGATGATGATGATGATGTGGAAGAAGAGGAGACTGGGTGTTGGGTTAGGCTGAGGTTCTTTGGGAGCTGCATTTCTTCAAGATCCAAAGTTGATAGCTCAATCAGTGGAACCAGTACTCACTGTGGTAACTTTCTCTTTTCTTGGAATCACTTTTTACTAGCTCATATGCTTCAAGTGTTCTGGTTGATTGCTTTTTAGGATTGTTCTGTTGTTTCTATTTTAGCTTGTGTAGTCTGTAGTCGTACAGTTCTTCCTTTCTCAGCCATATCATGTTTGTCGCGCATTTAGTCGTCATAGACAATAAAATTTAGGCCTGGAGATTCTGTAAGTAATTTTACAAATAATTGCTGTTAACATTGCCATTTCTGCTTGGGGCGCCCATAAGTTGGCTGCATTATACTACTATGGTCAATCTCAAGAGCTTTGCTCTTGATGGATTCTAATCAAAGCATGAAGGTCCCCATTGTTCGTGAAGATTATACCTGCAATAACCTGGTTAAGTTTTGGGTTTGGAGGCTGGTTTTAGAGCTCAAACCCAATTGAGCCCTTTACTCTTTCTCTCATATGAGAAGAGGAGATTGGTGGCTGGAAGACTTCTTGGTCCTGGAAAAACATTTCACAGAAACATGTGAGCTTGCTTTTGAGAACAAGAGTTATCCCTCCCTGCAGTCTCCTATAGCGGGGAAACAATAATTTGAGTCCAGACTGTATGACTAAATAAATACATAATAAGATATACGTTTTAAGGCAACTTGAGTATGTTCTGCCTGATATAAAGGATGAAGGGTTAGGTATTCTGATGTTATACTTTCTTTTGATTTGTTGTATGCTTTGTGTAAAACTTATCTGCTTGTGAGGATTTTCTCAATATAATACTGGTTTTGAGTTAGGGACAGCGGGTTCATTGGTAATTACAGGATTCGCTAGGAGATGGTGGGAGCATGCAAATAAAATTGTGGTAGCAATGGTGAGGATGCGTCATACTGGTATGGAAAGTGAAGGCGTAAGAGATGTGTTGTTATTAGAAAATAGATTTTATGGCTTTAGGAATATTTTTCCTGAGGCAACGAGGTTGGAAGAGTGGTCATCGAATTGGGTATACAGTAATTCTTGATAAGAACTGGTTTTTGAAAATACATGATTCATGTCAGATGGCTGTGCTTGGTGTCTAGTTTAGATAATCTTCTAATTTCCTATTCAACACTTATTGACTGATATGATAGTCGGATTAAGTCTATTTAAGGTTTTATCCTGTGTTGGTCATGTGTAATTCTTACATCAGGTCCTATGTATGCTTAAACTTAATTTTCTTAGGGGCAATGATTTTTCAACTTGGTGCTATTAAAAAAACACATTTATTCTTTATTTTCAGTATTCTAATGTGTTGGTTTCTTTTTTGGGGTTTGCAGAAACTAAATCTACAAATGATACAAGCAGAGACCAACCAACAGCTACTGTAGTCTCTTCCTCAACCACTAGTAACACAGAAAGTAATGCATCCACTTCCAAACTTGAAGAGGAACTTAAAGTTGCTTCTCGGTTACGAAAATTCACATTTAATGATCTTAAATTGGCAACAAGGAATTTCAGACCTGAAAGTCTTCTTGGTGAAGGTGGTTTTGGTTGTGTGTTCAAGGGGTGGATAGAAGAAAATGGAACTGCTCCAGTAAAACCTGGCACAGGGCTTACTGTTGCAGTTAAAACTCTTAACCATGATGGGCTTCAGGGTCATAAAGAATGGCTGGTTTGGAACTTTCCTGATTTGTTTTAACTCTTATACTACATAATGTTTTGGTGTTCTCTGTCTATGTTGTATACAATTTTTTAATTCTTGTTCGGCTTTCTATGTGTCAGGCTGAAGTAAATTTCCTTGGTGACCTTGTCCATCCAAACTTAGTTAAACTTATAGGATACTGCATTGAAGATGATCAAAGGCTGCTAGTGTATGAGTTCATGCCTCGAGGGAGTTTGGAGAACCATCTGTTTAGGAGTATGTAACTGCCTTTCTCAAAATCTAATTTTCATTCAATCCCATTTAGAAGTGTAGTCTTTTGGCATTCTCTGATAATATCTACTATATGCAGGGTCCTTGCCTCTTCCATGGTCAATTAGAATGAAAATTGCATTAGGTGCTGCAAAAGGTCTTGCTTTTCTTCACGAGGAAGCAGAAAGACCTGTTATATATCGGGATTTTAAAACCTCCAACATCTTATTGGATGCAGTATGCCCTTAAAACTTTACGAACTCACATATTCCCCCATAATATCATTCACCTTTCTAATAGAGTACCATTACAGGATTACAATGCCAAACTGTCTGACTTTGGACTTGCCAAAGATGGTCCTGAGGGTGATAAAACCCATGTCTCCACCCGTGTGATGGGAACTTATGGTTATGCAGCTCCGGAATATGTAATGACTGGTGAGTGCAGTTACCTTCAATCTTTTATCTTCCTAACATAGAATGTCCGCTATTTGTACCTATTTATATTTTCTTAAAGGATATCTTCCATTATCTGGAGTTGTTATTTATACATTAGCTAGGTCCAAAGAGAATGCTTATCCTGTAGGATATTACGTTTTAGATACATTTAAGCACGTCTTGATACCTTGTTGAAGTCCAAGTAGATTCACTTGTATTTTGTTGCAGGACATCTTACATCCAGGAGTGATGTCTATAGTTTTGGCGTGGTTTTACTTGAGATGCTGACTGGCAGAAGATCTATGGACAAAAATCGACCGAATGGTGAACATAACCTTGTGGAATGGGCACGGCCACATTTAGGCGAGAGAAGAAGATTCTACCGATTGATAGACCCCCGGCTTGAAGGCCACTTTTCAATAAAAGGTGTTCAAAAAGCTGCACAACTAGCTGCCCATTGCCTTAGTCGAGATCCTAAAGCCAGGCCCCTAATGAGTGAAGTTGTTGAAGCCTTAAAGCCGCTGCCAAACCTCAAGGATATGGCAAGCTCATCATACTATTTCCAGACCATGCAAGCTGACCGCGTTGGGTCCAGCCCGAATACCAGAAATGGTGTCAGAACACAAGCAGGATTGCTAACAAGGAATGGGCATCATCAGCAGAGGAGCCTCTCAATACCAAATGGTTCCCATGCTTCTCCATATCACCATCAATATCCCCATCAATCACCAAAACCTAACAGCAAACCTTAAGATAGGGTTGGCAGCTGTCTATATCATTTCCCACCCCATTGTCAGCAATCATTTTCCCCTTTTTTTTTCTTTTTTTTTCTTCCTTTTCCTTCTTCTCCGGTATAGATGTATCATCTGTTAAAGCATTTGTTCATGGACAACTCAAAAAGCAACAGAGAAACATGTTTGCTTGATGTTATGTTTAGAGTGATGACCTCGAAGTAAGGGCATGTGAAGTTTATTGAGCAAAATGTATCGGTTAGAAATACCAAGACAAGATTGTTGCCTCCCGTTGCATTATATCCTTTGTCATCTGTTCCTTAGATGAATACAAGTCCTTGTTTCATGGTCATATGTCACATCCCTTTCTTGTATAAAACAAAATGCACTACTTTGGCTTAAGTACATGAGATGAACCAATTTCAAGTAAGCTACGTCTTGTCTCGTGGCCTTATATTTTGGACTTGGTAAAAAGCTTGGCGCCATTCAACGAGAGGAGGAGGGAGAGAGATAGCAAGGTTGGTAGGATCTCACCATCAGATAGCAATACGTAGCATAAGATAAGAAAATTTAATCTTAAATTGAAATAAAATCATTATCGGCATATTGTGCCACAACAGCTACAGCTAAGAGTCAACTGGACACATTTCCAAAGAGGCTTATTTGCATTGAGCCCATGCGACCAAAAAAAGAAAACCCATAAGACCTTCCATCTGTTATTATTTCTATCAAGTAGACATATACATGCTCCAACTCCTCCAATGGTGGCATTTGTATTTACATTACCATCTCAGCCTTGAAGACCACTTCGTTAGATGCACTAAACTTAGTACCTGAAGAGGTTTTATTTTTTGTTCCTCTCTTCTTTTTGGAGGATCTTCAAATGTGAAATCCACTTCATCATTGTAAAGGATCATTCTTTCATGCAGCCTTCCTGGTCAGCTGTTCCTTGGATGTACTCTCGAAGATCTTATCAGCATTTCCAACCTCAAATCCATCTCGCCTGTGATGCTCTTTGACCTGTTCAAGTTGCTAGTTCATAATTGTGCAACACCAAAAGCAACTTGAAAAACCCAAAATACCAACAGACAAAAGTTTGGTTACCTCTTCAATGGGTAGATTACTGTACTGAGGCAGCACCAGGCGCTCAGCAAACTCGATATAGGAGCAGGGGACTGATTCAGTTAGACCATCAGAAAATTGGAAATGAATTGAATCTGCGACCGTTGAACTTTGCTGAAGAAGGCCATCGGGGCTCACTGTTAATGGAAGAAGTAAACTCATAATAATCAGCATTGAGTAATATGCAATAAAAGATATGGCAAGAAATTTCACTTAACTCAACTTCTACTTATGGCATGCCACATTAATTCAGTTAATGATACGCACAAAGGCCCAGTCATGTGTTCCAACAAACATATCAGTTTCTTAAAACCAATAATATCATTCCCTACTTTCCTATAAAAGAAATTATATCAATCTCTATCTCTGTTATCATTCTTTTTTTTTCCCCTTTATTAACAGAAGATGATGTATATTTACTCAAACCTTAGCAAGACGCTAACTGCATTTGCATGTTCTGCCTTAGAATGAGCAGCTTAGGTACATGAAAATGAACATGGTTTAATCTATAATCCTAGTATTATATCAGAAAGACATATTGAACATATACAAAAATCACCACAAGATCGCTCGGAAGACATGTTTGTTGTGCTACAGATCATGTAACAAACCTTTCAGAGTTCCCCCTTCAGAATTCAACTTGAACCCATTCTTCTCAATGAACTGATTGAGGTTTTTAATATCTCTCAATCGAGATTTCAGCTGATGAGTTGAGATAGTGGCATGGTTTAGTGCATACCCATTGACAAGGGTCCAGGCAGCATATTCGCTTTCCCTACATATTCATAAATCAGATATAAGCAGAAGATAATATGCTACAATATTCAAATCTAACCTCTTTGGCTAAGATATGAAAATTTTGCTTACACAAACGGTAAGATATGCACATAGGTACACAATGAAAACCAAGTACCTAGCCAATTGTTGAAATTCAGAATGCAATGGCTTTTCCCACGTTAACGATCCCAGTGCACTTGCTAGAGCAGCATGTTTATTTCCAGAACCAGAAATTTCAGTGTACTTTCTGATTATATCCTGAATGTTGAAGAACACTCTCAGGTTTCAACTAATGGGAAATAGGATAAATATCAAAACATATTTGCGATAAACAGAGCAACATATACATATATACCTGAGTTTGTGGACTCATCTGATCCACAAGAAGCTCAGATACAAACACTCTTGGTAAAGGTCCATTAACACCACTGCCACCATGAGAAGTTGGAATACTGGGAGGAGAAAACCACAATGCTCTCAATTTTTTAGCAGGGAATCTTAACTCCTCCCGCGGCGTGTACCCGAAATCCAGGAAAAATTTAGCCATGGAGTCGATTCCATAACCATTCACCTATTGATTGTTCCAAATGAAAACCAACTTCAATAACAATGCTAACAAGATAAATTGAAATGAATGCATATCATATGCACACTTGTTTAATGTCTTGATAATGAAAATACAAATCAACACTATTTGGTATTAATCGAAGGAAAAGAGAAATTACCCCAAATGTCCTAAAAGCGAAATGATCATAGCAAATTTGGTCATCAGCAACCGACCCAACGAGCTCCAACACTGCTTTTGCTGTTGGGTTCCTGCTCAAGTAGACAGCCTCCATACTTGCCAACACTTCCCTGAAAAATGATTCACCTCCCTGCAATCCACTTAAGTATATAAAAATCATAAATAAATAAATAATGAAAACTTTGATAGATGAGAGGAAAAAACCTGGAAAGGGGAATCGTGGGATCCATTGTCAGATTTGGAGCTACAAACGGTGGACATGTTTTTCTTGTTGGTGAAGATTGAACATTTGAGGGGAGAAAACGATGATTTGTTGAGGGAGATGAAATTCCTGGTGACAGGATTTTTGGGGTTAATGCTGGGTTGGCGAGGAGTGAGAGAGTAGAAGGATGGGGGCAGAGTTGATGAAGAAATATGAGAGCCGTTGTTAATGGCTGATGAGCTTAAGGGCAGCATTCTGGACAGTCTCATTTCTCTGGTAGCTTCAAATTTCAATCAATCAGACGCAAGACCTTCCGTATTCATATAAAAATCTTCTTTCTGTTGGGTAATGCTTACGTCCGCTTCGCGCTTAGCTCCACCCGCCACCTGGACATTCACGACAATGCCTCCATGCTAGGGTGACATTAAAATATTAAAATTATTATTCTGGTAGTTCCCATATATTATTGCCGCTAACAAAACGTATCGATATTATTGTGTATGTAGATATACAATTTACATAGATGAGTAAGAGGATTTGTGAGTTATAGTGTGTGAATTTTTTATACAAATTTTGAAGCAAACCTACATCAACTATTTATAATTTTTACAATGTGACACAAATTTAAAGTAGTCTTTTACACAACTAAAAAATTCATGAAAATGTTATTGATGTTATAAAAATAAAATAATCAGAGTACAAAAAGTACCACTGAATATTGGGCGTGGAATTATATTTGCTATTCTGGTATTTACATTGACATAATTTTCTCTCAAATAGAACTCACTAACACTCAGATTTCACTCTCTCTTCTTTCCTCTCACTCTTCCTCTATTCTCCGTTGGTGTAATTTGCTAAGCAATGGGATTGGATGGCTTACCCAACATCATCATTAAGCTCCAACATCATCATTAAACTTTTTAAATATTATTTCCTTCTTTTCTTTACATGGGCTCCACTACTTTCTTTAAAACACTTCCCCTTGGAGATCATAATGTATGGGATATGCTTCATTAAAAACCTTGCTAATAAAACCCAGTGGGACAAAAACTGGTCGAAGGGAAAAAAAGTACATAACCATGTGTAATATAAAATTCTGTGTATATTAACAAGCGTGCGACATTACTTCGTTAAAACATTGCCAGGAAAAACCCAATGGGATAAAAACCTAGATGAAGGAAAAAGAGTATAGTATGTGAAAATCTTTATTAACAGCACGCTCCCCCTGATGCTTGGCAAATATCTTTTAAGCCATACTGTTGATCATCTTTCTGAATGTCATAGTTGACACTGCTTTTGTGAGTCAATATTCTAATATTGTTACATGCTCCCCTTGAAGAATATCTCCCCCTGATATCTTCATGACTATCTTTTTAGAGGGAAGATCTTTCGGACTGAGTGAATGATTTAGCCATCAACAATTCATGTAATTGAGTAAGCAAATATATCCCCAATGAGCTATCTCTATGTAAATCATAGAAATTTACAAAGTCCGCGAATCAAACAAAACCTGGGCTATTTGTAAGTTCACTTGAAAAAAATATGCCCATATATGGTTTTATGCGGAGATAGCATCAAATATGTCTCACATCATCCTAAATTGGTGGTGATGGAGTTGAGTTCTATCTGGAAAATATAATGTGCGGTCCAGTATACTAAAGAAAAATCATTTAAGTGCCTAACGATAATCCACATAAAAAAGCTTCAATACTTTCTTAGTATAAGCAAGAATCTTGTGGGCATAACGCTCGATATTCAGGCTGAGATAAATATTTCTTGAACTCTTCAAGAGTTTTGACCAAATATTAATTCTTCACGAGTTTTGATCAATTATCAACTCTTCAGAGTTGTAATGTGTTGCAACGATATCATAATTAGTGTACTCACTAAGGCAATTTATACATATTAGTATTGAGTACAAAATTTGTGCTTCAGGCACATGTCCTTCAAAGACTTACTTTCTGCAATTTCAATCAGGGATTTAAGGGATCACACTTTATGACACATTATATAGCTTTAACCCAACTATTTATACATCTTTAGGGAATCGCTTCTGGATATATGCTCCATGCATTTAACAACCCTTAAAGATAACATGTTGGTCTTCGTAAATATGCAATAAGAAGGCACAATTGCATATGTAAACCAACATTTCTTGTTTCTACCAGAAACATTGTGTCATACAAAGTGAGTATATTCCTTTTTATTCCAACACTCATGCATAACCTTCAGGGTTAACATCTCTTTGGGGTTCGTACTATGGGTTTGTTCTTTCACGTTCATTCTCATCTATAATGGAATTGCCTCTTTCCATTTATGGCCAATGATATTGTCGACATATAATAATAGAATGTGGTTCCAATCAACACAGCCCATTGATGATTTGAGTAGCTACTCCAAAACCAAAAATTATCATTCATCAATTCGTGATCCCACCATTCTCATGTGCATGCGCATGCATCAATTATGAACATTTCTTCGCTTTTGGGTACCCAAGCCACTTCAATGGCTTTTATTGTCTCTTTCCAGATAGACATATCTTATAGGATGAATTATGTGCGAATGTGGGTCTTAACCTCCAATGGAACGTTATTTTATAGTAGGGCGTAGATTATCTTCATTCAGGGAGTTGGAACATTTATAACCCATATATCTGTCATGCTGCAAGCATGCCACAGATTAATACATACATGTCAATTAATTGTCCTTTTGAGACTTTAAACCATATAATTTGCTACGCATTAAGCGTGCACCGTATTAATATTGATATGTTAATGGATTGTCCTTCCGGGTCTTCAATCCATATCATTTACTATGCAACAGACGTGTATCATATTGATCACTGCTATACTCATGTTCTATTCTTATGGGACTTTAATCTATGTAGTGTATTATCAATGTATTTAACTTGCAATATGTGAAATTTGCATTAATAATTCATGAAAACATATCAGAATTATACAAGCCATTCTTCTGGAATGGTTATAATACAAGTCGTTCTTCTGAAACGATTTATAATGCAAGTCATTCTTCTGGAATGGTCTTTTGCATGGCGTTCTTCTAGAACGACCTTTTCTCCACATTTGGTTAACTTTAAGGATGTCGTACAAAATATCAAAAATAAGAGTACAAGCATGAAATAATACAAGTATTGCTCACATCCTTAGGTGGGAGAAACTTTGCTCAAATATCAGTCAAGCTCGTATCAGCTCAGCAAATACAATGTAATGCTTGATGATCTAATTATATCCTGTATGAGCAAAAATCACAATTCTTCTGTCTCTGTAAATAAATAAATAAATAAAAAATCCCTCAGTGTTAGGTTCACTACATGGATTTATTCTTCAGATGTTCATTATGAAGAAACAAAATCCCTTATGAATAGAGAGTTGTAAAAAGAAAAAAAAGATACAAAGAATTGTGATATTGATTGCAAGGCAGGTAAGAAATTAGGGAAGAAAACTTGTGAGGTAACAGATAACAAACTCTCATTTCTCCTAACTTATAAGAACTTCAGGAGATTAGAGCATGTGGTCGTCCTTATAGTTCCTTGATCTAGCTGAAACATGATCAGGGATAGTCTTGTTTCCTGAATGGATGATCAGAGATAGTCTCGCTTTTCAAGCACATCGAATGCTCATTGATAGGAAAAACAAGAGGATATTGCATCACTAGATATGGAGAAAGCTGGAGAAAATTGGATGTATTTATTTGTAACATATTTATACACATATTAGAGGAATAGTTTGAATCGGTGAATCTTAAATTAACGATGGAAATTTGTGAGGTTCTCGAGATGCTTTTGAAAAAGTAACTCCTTGAAATCGGCAAAGCAAGATCGGCTTTGATGAAAATAGTCCTTGAGAATCCTTAAAGTGCTGACAGACATTAGTGAAGGCCGCGTGAAGTTTTGGAATCTAGAAAAGAAAAAGAGAATATGGGGATCTGAGAAAATATTGGGATCCTGGAAACGGTGCCACATTTTCATCTATAGATATTGCCTTTGCAAGGCCCGATTGGAGTAACTGCGTTTCAACTCAACTTCCTTCCATTTTCTGAAAATTTAGCTTTTCTAAGACTTTTGTCAAAACCCTTTTAAAATGGCTTCCTCTTCTTCTCCCCCAAAGCATCTCGATTTAAATGTTGCTCCCAAAACAACCCGTGACGCCAAAGTCTGGCATCCATCCTTTTTATCCCAAAATCATCATATCACGGTTAATGATTCTGTGATGATGAATGATACAACTGCTGTCATAGTAGCTATGAATTTCCTTACTCCTATGGATGAAATACTATTAACAGTAAGGTCTGACGAAGAGGCTATTGATGACTCAATGGCTTTTAGCATTCACAATGCTGCTTCTGTTTCTAACATGACTGATCGTTTGCGTACCAGAGCAAATAAGATTCAGGAGTTGAACACTGAAAATTCGTCTCTTCAGAGAATGCTTCATGAGTCTCAACAAGAGGTTGAGAACTTAAATAGGAAAATAAGGCCTTGTTGAAACTGGTGAGTTCATACTCCATTGATACGTGAACAAGGCTTGACATGCTGCAAATTTCCAATGAAGAGATTCTGGGAAACCACTAGAGGCTCTAAGCTTAAGAGGCACCGTCTTCTTCCTTCAGAGGCTTCCAGAACATAATGGAATTTTATAGATTTTATAGAGCATGCTTCTTCCTTGCAGTTGAAAAGAATCTATCTATTGTATGCTCATTTCCTATTATAATAATTGAGTAAATTCTTAAACTTGCACCTGTGGTTTTTACATCTTTTCAAAATGACAGTTTGGAACCTTGTGCCTTATAGGTTCAAATAACCACATCAAATCTCTCAAATTACATACTTCAATGCATGTGAGTTCGAAACTTCTGGCCCGGGTTAAACACAACTTGAAAATTTATTTGTCTTTTTCAAATGGGTATGAAATATAAATTGAGTAAAAGCCATGATAATATTGCAATATAGTAGTGAAAAGCATTAACTACTATATACCCAAAACTTCAGGTTCGGGATCTCTCATATATTTGGATCCATGGGCTTCCGCCCCAGATCATATAATACAACAAAATATGTGGGGAGCCTCAATTCATCATTTGAGGTTTATCTTGATATTATCCATTTTACGGTGTATTCTTAACAACCAGAATTCACAAAATATATTTCTTCCTTGAGGTGTCGATTATAACATAATTGAACTTTATTAAATTCATCATTTTCTTATGCCAAAGAAATATGTGGTGTACCACAATTTGCAATAATACCTCAAGAGTTGTCCATTTAACTATTTGAACTTCAGGTTCTCAATATTGTCAAATTTTGAACTTGAAGCCAAAATCGCATATTTTCATGGTATGGACATTTTTATAATTTCCCGTACATATTTTGGGACTTTAGGCTCTCACATAATTGTCCATGTTTTGAGGAGCTTTTGGCTTCTCATTTAATTGCTCATCCATGAGTTTAAGGAACTGCAGGTTCCCTTTTTGTATATAGTGATGGTTTACCCAAATTGGTTAATATTTATGTATACGTCACTATTCATGTACACGGTATTATTCATTAGGTCATGAATACGTGTCTCTTCATGCGTACAGTGACAAGATCCGGCCCAAATTCCACTTTGGAATCCAAGACGAACCCTGTGCGTGTCCGACACCTAGTGAGTGCCGGGCACAAATGACTAAATTGCCCTTCTAGTTAAAATTCAAAGTTCATTACAAGTTTGATTTATGCCGGAAATTCGGTAGAGTCTCCTTTGTAATTTGATCATATCTTTCTCAATATAACTCGGATTTGAGCCCACTACGTGTCTACGGACTCGTTTCAACGTGCTCTATGTAATGATACAATCGGAATTCCCAAATTCTTTCCTAGTAAAAAAAGTCAACTTTAAACCTAATAAATTATTCACGAGGTATTTTCATCTTTACTTGAATAATTTAATAACTAAAAATTAATTTAGGTTCGGGTTGTTACATACAGTACATTTGGCAGTACAATTACTATTCATGTGTACGACACTATTAACCAATATGGTACTGTTACATTATCAAGGAATTCCTGGTTCTTATTTACATGTCAAGGATCAAAGATTTTCAGGTTCGATCTCTTGTTTACAAATATAGTATCAGAGAGACTGCCAGCTCTCATATCATTATCATCATCAAGGATCTTTAGGTCCTTATGGAGTTGTATGATGAGGATCAATGAACTTTTGATCCTGATCTCTGTATGCTGTAAAACTCATCACATCACACAATTAATTCATAAAATAAATTGCTATAAATTGCTTGTAAATAAATTACTGGTATGGACGATAATCCCGCATCATATTTAAATAAATGTAAATGTGCGGTAAAATAAATTTATAAATTAAATTGCTTTATGTATGGACGTTAATCCCGCACTATACTTTAAATAATAAAGTAAATGTGCGATAAAGCCGTAAAAGGTTTTTTAGGTTTTAGACATAAAAAAATTTTCACTTTTGGAAAAAGCCAAAGCTTTTTAAAAAAAGATAAAAAAACCGCTCAACTTTCAAATCAAAGACATGCAAATGTATTGGATTCCTTAGGAAATCTAAAAATAAATAAGGGCATTTTTGTCCATTTTTGCTTCTTTTAAAATTTTTTTCTCTCCTTTTGCTTTTTCCAAAATGTCCCTAAAGTAAACGTGCTGGTATGGGCACTAATTTTACTCCATACCTTTAAATAAAAAGTAAAGGCAGTTGTGTGGACAATAATCCCACGCCACACTTTTAAATAAATACTGCCGTATGTGTAATAAACTTACACCTTACAGTAAATAAGGTAAATGCGGGGATAAAACCATCACCTAATATATATGAAGTATATAACATATTATATATTATGGGCAATATAACTGTGTCACTATTCAAGATATAATAAGATGGGTTTTAAGATCACACCATCATTTTTATTACGATAATATGTGTTACAAAGCTATGGGCAATGAAAATTACACCATCATAAAATAACAGGATGGGGTGTAAAACTGCACCATTCCAAATTACAATACGAAAGAATAAATTAAACAAATATGGATGAAACAACATAAAAATTGTGAAAATACGAAAAAGAAAGTTTGCATGTCGTCATAGTAGTAAAGTGAGAGGAGACATATGACAGAGAGAAGACAGAGAAATAACCACTTAGTGTTGAGCTAGGAAAATTTAGAAGTAAAGAGGAGAGACTATCGTGATGATAACATGTTATAAAAATAAAATAATTAGAGTATGAAAAGTACCACTGAATATTGGGAGTAGAATTATATTTGCTCTTTTGGTGTTTACACTGACAAAATTTTCTCTCAGATAGAACTCATTAACACTCAAATTTCACACTCTCTCTTCTTTCCTCTCACTCTTCCTTTCTTTCATCTCTTCTCTGTTGGTGTAATTTGCTAAGCAATGGTAAGCCTATTTATAGGCAAATTGGATGGCTTACCCAACATCATCATTAAGTTCCAACATCATCATTAAGTTTTTTGAATATTATTTCCTTTTTTTCTTTATGTGAGATACACCACTTTCTTTACAACGATTGAATTTAAAATTCCAAAAGTACATTGCAACTAATCGGAATTGAAGAGTAAGACATACAACTAATACAAATAAGGACTTCCAAGCATGACTTGGTTGATGAGGGGAGAAATCTTGGATCTTTGCTTATATTTTTTTTTCTTCTATTAAACAATTAGTTAATGTTTATCTATATGATGTGATGATTGAATGAGAAGACAAATAAAGAAAGTTGACTACTAGTAGACAGATAAAAATGTGATGAATAAGTGAGTGAGATAATATTGAAGACAATCTTAAACATTGACTGGCCTATCATATATCACATTACTTATTTGTGGAATGAAGCTTCATGTACCATGTGTGCTGTCACTTTCATTAATTGGAGTTGCTTTATGGTGAGTATATGAGGAGATTTCTGATCGTATATCACAGCGGTGGAACTCCTTTAATTAATAGTCAATATTGATGATCTACGCGATGATGCAATATATAAATGTAACAAAGAGAAAAGTTTCTCTAAAATTGGAAATGCAATTAGTAATAGGGAGTTATTCACTATACGAAGTACAAACTGTTTACACCATAATCAACCGAGCATATCCAGCCTCAAAACGACTAACACTAAGGTAGACACACCTTTTTCCTTGCCGAAGGAAGACACTCTTCCGAGGTGTCAGACACCTACCGAAGCTCCCAACTACCGAACATAATCTCCAAGACACGTGTCATCACCAAAACGACTTGCACAAATTCCCGCATCGAAACTTTGTGCAAACCTCTCACTTTCACTTCCCTATAAATAAAGAATAGTACCCAAGTAAGAAGGATAACTACTCTCTCACTTTTACTATTACTCTGTCAAATTTACCACTGATAGCTGACTTAGGTATCGAAGAGCCTTTGACCGGCACCACATCGGTGTCTGAAGCTTGACGACTGCTTCTCCTACTTTGTCTTCTGCAGGCTCTTCCCTCACCGAAGGTTCTCGCCTTCTTCCCTGTTGAAGACCATCCATTTCTCTCTAAGTTGACCTCCCAAAATGAGCATTAATAGTTTGACGCCGTATGTGGGAACCGACTTCTGAATCCCATCTTTCTATACCAGCCCAGCTGGTTCCTTCTCCAATCAGGCCCCGTCGCATCTTCTTCACCTCACACTCTGCTATGCCGACCGAGGATATCCATGATACTCAGCACCATAACCCCGCGGGGGTACTTCCCGAAGAAAACCTTCAGTAGATGCCAACCTCCAAGCAGAGGTAGAGCTCCTCCGTGCCAGCGACGCTAAGATGTCTGAGAAATATGAACATCTCCATACCAAAAATATTGAGCTGGAGCATGACTACCGTAACTGGGAGAGGACTCACCCCCAGGGCTCCTAACATAACTTTACTCAGGATGCTGAGCATACCCAGCCAAACCAGCGGGTGCACTTCCGCCATAGTGCCCCAGTCCAGTTTAGGCTCAGCAAGGGTAAAGACCCTCTTCATTTGGAGACGACCAAGTCACGGTTCCTTCAAATATCCCTACCGAAGGATCGACCCTATGAACCAGTCAAGATCTATAGAGATTGCAGGGACTGTCTCTTGGACCGTCAGCCAGACCCTATCCTTATTCCTATTAATCTCAAAGATCCAAGGGTGGCACGCTTAGGCCCCCCACCGAAGCCCACCCACCTACCCGTTGAAGAAGGTGAAGGGGACTCGGATAACTGGGAACCTTACCATCCAGAAGACTGGGAGTCTTATCACACTGAGGCGTTCGAAGAGTGAGAACCTTCCCCAACCCATGCTCATCCACACCCCAGGCCTTCAGCACCCGAGACCCTCCCTCATGCCGACCCGGCCATGAGGCTTCTCTTTGAGAAAGTTTGGCGTCTGGAGAATGACATTAAGCCACCAACCCCTCTGGGGCGAAGCCACGACTCGGGCCCTTTACTGAACGTATCCTCAATTACCACCAGGAGAAGGACATTAAGCCACTCCGTATTGCCTTCTACACTGGCACGAATGATCCTCTCACCTATATCCACTCTTTCCAGTTTGCCCTCGGATGCACGGGCCTTAGTGACGAAGACATATGCCTCATCTTCCCTTCCACCATCAGCGGCGCAGCCCTGAATTGGTTCTACAGGCTGAACCCCCGCACCATCAATTCATTTGACAGTCTGAAGCAGACCTTCTTGGACCATTTCATGATCCAGATTGATCGCATGTACTCCATAGACGACTTCTACATGCTTCGGCAGGGTGATGATGAATCCCTTCGGGAGTATGCAGCTCGCTTCAGCCACGAATATTCTCGTTGCCCAGATACTAACGATTGCGCTGCCCTCGGTGCTTTCAAGAGTGGCCTTCGCGAGCTCAACTTCCGGTACCTGGTCCACAGCAACCCTTGGAACACATATGTGGAGCTAATGAAGCAGGCAGCCGTTCACGCCAAGGCCGAGTATTTCAACTCCAAGCGTGGCCCAACCACCTCTGCACGCAGCACCTTTGGTGATCCTCCACCTGCTTCGATACCTACCACAACCCCACCTTAGCATTATACTCCCGCCCCAGATAACCAAGGTATCCCGCACCCAAAAAAGAAGGATAGCTACCAGCATACCTTCAGCAGTAGCAAGCTTGGCAGACATGACAGTCACCACCAGCCTAGTGGAAGCAACTGACCTTCTGTTCAGATGACACTAAAGAAAAAACCGATTGATGTGGATGCGTGAGAGAATGACATTGGGACACCCGGACACAATTGATCGTGGTTGCAATCATAGAATTGGAATGTAAACAAGGCACAAAGAAAAGAAGCAGATTCTCGGAAAAATTTAGTGGTGGTGCAGTGTTTTTCATTTTGTTTGTTTTTGGACAAAGATAATGCGCATGGATAAAATGTCTATGATATTTTGATCCTTATTATTGTTATTATGAAATCAAGTCCACTTCCTAGGTCAATACGGGCAAAGGCCAATCCCAATCATATTGCCCAAAGTGCCATAATAGTTGCTTTCAAGCCATTACAAGTTGCAATATCAATTCATGGGCTACTTTTCTTACTTTCAATAAAATTGAAACACTAAATATAATCCAATCAATAAATAAAAAATTATGTTGATGCAAATTCTAAAAATTACTTTAAATGGTAGACGTGACTCAGTCCAATCGATTAAAAAAGAATTCACCTTTTTGCACTCAAACTCGAATCCTCCCCTTCATAAATTTTAGACAATAAAACTTTTAATTAATGATCAATTATCTCGACTGTACTAAAATTTAAGCATTAAATGACTGCGAATCACCATTAATCATAATCTTTCCACGAAAGAACAGGGCACGGTGTCCACTACCCACACTTTACACGGTGACAAACAAATGCCCTTCGCGCACTCGGAAAATTCAGCGAAATAGCTGTCCGCGAAAGCGACTCGTAACTTCCCCGCGAGGCTTAAGGCTCATCCGAATTTTTACTAACCTTTCTACAAGTATCTATTTCTTTGCAATTCATTTCCCCCAATTTCACGTGGTTTTGGGAATTTGTGTTATCTCTCTCTCTCTCTCTCTCTCTCTCTCTCTCTCTCGCCCTGGCTCGCTTCCTTTCTGTTAGATTTGCAGACGAACGCTTCCAGTTCCGAGACGTACATAGCTGGAATTCTCACTGTAATTTTACATGCCTTGTAGTTCTAGCTACTGTAATTGTCTGATTTTGCCTGCTTCTTCTAGCTCTCGATTTTGTACAGTGTACTGCGCTTGGAGCTTTACACGAACTGCTGAGTGAAACTTGTGTGATTCGATTTGACTTTGTATTTGTATCAACCATTGCTCGTCAGATTTGCTTTAGAAATTTTTAGGTTTCTTATTTTGTAATTGTTGATGTTTATATAGGATTGAGTTGCATGCAAACCCAGTTTTATGTTTTTTTTTTGTTCGAAGTTTTATGGCTATGAATCGTAGATATGAATTGCTTTTTTGCTTTGATCTCTGAGATATATGTTAGTTTTATCATAGAGTTCGCCTTTAACGCTTTACTTAATTGGCCTTTGTTCTCTTGTGGTTGTTTTGTTTTCTTTATTCTCTGTGACTTTATATGGTAGCCTTGCATTATTTATTAAAGATACTTAAAAATTTGCCTCTATGGTCTCCTGTACACACACAAGACATACACGAGCCTCGCCAGCTTGAATGGGGTATAAAAGATATTATTGAAAAGAAAAAAGAACTAAAAAACTACCAAGTTCTTGTAATTTTTAATTGTAGATATACAGTTGCTACAACCCATTTTAGCTTCATAATTGAGTTGTTTAAGGCTTAGGTTTGTAAGAACCCAACTCCGCTTGACCAATTCAGCGTCGAATCAGTTAGCCAATTGTTCCATTTGGCAGCTCATCCATGTTATCCTGTATTTTATATGTTTTTCTGACGGCCTATGAAGATTTCATCATATTTGCTTCTTTATATTGTTACTTGAGCACTTGTCAAAGGTTGCATCTAGTATTATACAGTGACACAATATATCTTATTTTTTAAGCAAGTGTTGCGTGTATAAACCTTCTTTAAGTTGAAATTCAAATGTAAAGTAGTTATTTCCATTTATTTTTAAAAAAATTGTAATCCTTTTCTTCTAAAAACAAAATTTATTTTTCAACTCTAACTCTGGCCAAGAAACTAGATAATGTTAACTATACTTTAATGAATTAAATGGTCAGGTTCATTCTCATGGTTTTGCTGGGTTGACATCAACTATTTGCTTTTGTGGTTATAACAATAATTTGAGGATAATTGTTTAATATTCTTTATTTCCCATTCCCTTCTGGGGTGGTAGTTGATGTGGCAGCAATGATATGAGGTACCACCCTCAGTTCGCTCCTTAATCTAGGGTCAAAACTTTGAAATTATTATGTTTTTATGGTTACTTAATTGAGGATAAATTATTTGGAATACATTATTCAACACTTTTTCTTGACTATTCCTACTACGTTTCTCATTGAATTGGTTATAGAGGTCTGAGATACTACCTGGGTAAACTTTGTTTAGTTCAGTGACCTCATTACATATGTATGCATAAATCCACACACGCAAACAAACATACACACCCGTGCATCTTGGTATATATGTTTTAACGATGTCCTCATCACTTTGTGATTAATATATTCTATTTTGACTCGTATAAAAAGCAGTGTCTAGGTTTTTATTTAACAAATACGGGTTTTAAATTCTTTCTAGATATTGTAATGCACATACAACTGACCTTCTGTTCAAGTTTGAAGAAGCATACGTTTCATTTGATTTTATATAATCTATTTTGAATTTCTTTGGTAATCCATTAGTACTAAGTTTGATTCAAAAGCATGTAGGTGATCCTGGTAAACAGATGGGGCTGTGATATACATTTATTTTTGTTTATTGTTGACATTTTGCTTTCGAGCCTTGTGTTTCTTTGAAAAATTGATAGAGTTTATGACAGGCCTTCTGGGAAGCCTATATAGCTGTTGCGTATTTATTGGCAACATAATTCAAAAACTGCATTTACAAATTAGCATTGGATAACCTTGATTTTACTGTTCTTGGCACAATCAGAAAATGGGACAAGCTCTTGGTTGTGTTCAAGTGGACCAGTCTACTGTTGCTATCAGAGAAACTTTTGGGAAGTTTGATGATGTGCTTGAACCTGGTTGTCACTGTTTGCCTTGGTGTTTGGGTAGCCAGATAGCTGGTCATCTCTCTTTACGTGTGCAGCAATTGGATGTTCGCTGTGAAACAAAGACAAAGGTTTGTTTCATATTGATTTTCTTTCAACATGAAGATTTTGCTATAACCTTCTAAGTACACACAAAAAGCACTGCATACGCACACTAGGAGTGTCTCTTAGTACTACTGTAACAAATTAGGAAGAATATGTTATTGTGTGAGAGTTATGTGTAGGGTCGGATCTAGGAATTAGAAGTGCAATCTATCTGCCAATTCTGATCTATGGTATCACTTCAGGATAACGTTTTTGTTACTGTGGTTGCATCTATTCAATACCGAGCTTTAGCTGAGAAGGCTTCAGATGCCTTTTACAAGCTCAGCAATACCAGAGGGCAGATCCAATCTTATGTCTTTGATGGTATGGATTTGTTACTGAAATTCGTAATTACTTTCATAAGTTTTTGGGTTTTTGTTTGTCGTTTTTTTCCTTCTAACAATTGAGATATCCATTTATAGCTAGTTCAGTTGTGTCATGTATCATCATTTATCCCAGGGTAGCAAATAGTGCAGCTTGTGAACGATTGTGATAAGTTTTCTGTAAATTTTGGTGGGGTTTTGATTTAATTTTTCTTTTAGATCTTATTTTCTTGGAAAACAGAGATGGGAAAATTCATCCTTTTTTTTTTTTTTTTTTTTTTTGTTTCGTGTGTGTTTTCTTTGGTTTGGTGTGGAATATTTCTTAGCTTGAGGTTTTGCTTTGAAATTCTAGCTAATTCTTGTTCTCATGTCATTGTACCTTGGAGAGGAATACAGTGTGGTTTTTTTAGATCGTAGCTTGCAGATAGAATTTACAAAATTCTATTTTTTGTTTCAGTTATCAGGGCAAGTGTTCCGAAGTTGGATCTAGATTCAACCTTTGAGCAGAAGAATGACATAGCCAAAGCTGTTGAAGAAGAACTTGAAAAGGTGTGGATCTGTATGCCTTGTTTGGTTTAGAATTCCCTATGAAACATCTTGGTAATTTATTGTGTATATGCAGGCCATGTCACATTATGGGTTTGAGATAGTTCAAACACTAATTGTGGATATCGAACCAGATGAGCATGTGAAGAGAGCAATGAATGAGATAAATGCAGGTACAATATGTACATATGATAGATGGAATGCAATGTTTTTTTCACTCCTTTTCTATAGGCTATTTTTTTTCCGCATGCCATTCCAAGTAAAGATTCATTTATTTAGAAACTTTACCAAGTGCTAATGAAAATTGAGCCCTGTTGCATTTGGTAAATAGAAGGATTAGGAAGGTTTGCTCTTATGTGGCCTTCAACTCCTATCAACCAAATAGCATCAGTGTGTCTAAAACAGAAAGATGGTACCCATTCTTGAGATGCAGTATGCAGTAGGATTCTCCTCCATTGCACCCCTGGAACCAGAAAAGTATTGAGACCTGGAAGTCTCATGGGTCTCTTCGGAATATTGATTCCTTTATGTAGGACACAAACAGAATGACATTTGCAGTGAAGTGTGTTGCTTAGAATAATTAATTTTGTTTTAAAAAATGAAGTTTTCTTAAGCTATAACAGCTGCAGAATGACTAATATATGCATGTTTTCCAATAACCAATAGCTGCAAGGATGAGGTTGGCTGCAACTGAGAAAGCTGAAGCAGAGAAGATATTGCAGATTAAGCGAGCTGAGGGAGAGGCAGAGTCCAAATATCTGTCAGGGCTTGGAATAGCAAGGCAGCGCCAGGCCATTGTGGACGGGCTGAGAGACAGTGTGCTGGCCTTCTCTGAGAATGTGCCAGGGACATCTTCAAAGGATGTCATGGACATGGTTCTGGTGACCCAGTACTTTGACACAATGAAGGAGATCGGTGCATCCTCAAAGTCCAATTCGGTTTTCATCCCACACGGCCCTGGTGCTGTGAGAGACATTGCTTCACAGATACGAGATGGCCTCCTTCAAGCAAATCCACCTCAGGTGTAATGTCATTACGTGGTACGAAGTTGGAGGCTGGCTCTTTGAGCTTCCGATCAGTGCTATTATGCAGGATTGAAGTTTGTGTGTGCTTTAGGATCTAAGAATGTGGTTTCTTTAGTATTTGACATATAACGTATATAATATGTAGGTGATTTCTCCATGCTTGTTGATACCCGGCCTCAAAAGGGTTTGAACTTTATGTAGTATAGAGAAGTGATTCAATATATTTGGTTGGTTTTTGTTAGAGCGTGTTTCCTATTTGAATTGTCTTGCTCTAATTGTGTTTAAAATTTGCTAGCTTTTTTTGCCTTTCGATTTCGTGTCTAGAGTTCCTTGAACTTCTAAATTTGTTCAGTAAATCCCTTTAATCTACTTACGTATAAAAAATTACGTTCTTATTCTGTTTTTTTTTCCTTTAACTATTCCATTTGTTCAAAAAAGTTAGGAAAAAACCTAATCACATTCATGAAAATAATCGTTGTGTTGTGAAAATAATCGTAGTCAGATTTACTGTGAGAGAAATCATCTGTGATAAAAAGTAATTTGGCATTTGGTAAACTTTTTGTTAAAAATAGTGTTGATACTGATTCCCGCATAATTATTAAACCCAATGCCTATTCGAAACTGATTCCCACATAATCAGAAAATGAAAGCACCTCATTAGCTGCTTTCATTTATAGCTTTCTCTCACAGTAATTTTTAACACTAAGTGATTTTCTTATAGTTTACCAAACGAGCTGAGATTTCCAAATTTAAAAAAAAATCACTTATCACCTCAAATAAGCAATACCAAGCGAATACTAAATATACAAATGCCACGTTTTGATCTCTCATTTTCTAACGAGGCGAGTGGTAGGAAATAATTCTTGCAAATAAGAAATTAAATTTTTTGTACCTGATAATTTTTCAACAGAAATATTTTCTTCAATTTTTTATTTTACAACGGCGAGAATGCATCACTTCCTAGTTGCTGGGACGAGATCCGTTGTCCCCATTTTCCATGTCCTTTCGTGTTTCTTGTATAATTTTTTGACACGTGTTCAGCCACTTAACTCCAACACAACACTGTTAACTTGAAATGGACATTGAGAAACACACCTAATATAGGGGCTCAAATTATAAAAAAATCCTACATAAAATGGATTTTAGAAACACATCCAAAGCTCATTTACAACATAATAAAGAGACTTTGAACTTCCAATAATATGCAAAACTGCCATCGTTTTTCTTAAAACAAGCCCAACGTCAAAACCTAACAAAAAACCAAAAACACTCAAAACCAAAAGGTAAAACTGAAAATTAGTATATTAAGTAAACCCAAAAATAGGTTAGCTGGTAATAGTAGGGTTTTTTTTTGAGTTTGTTTATAGAAATTAAGTAATCTAGGTTTATCTATAACACTAATATTAAGAATGAATATATAACCAAATATCTCCAAGGAAAATACTTGCCTTCTTCTCATAGAAGTAAGAACTCATATTTTCCTTCCAATCACAGTTTGACATGTGTATAGAGATTTTTCTTTCTGTGTTTTGATGAATTATTTTCACATATATGTTAAGCTGTGATTTGCAGGAAGTAGGAATGTCACTTTTCCCTAAAAGGAAGCAAGCAGTATCCTATCTCTAAAGTTTAAATTATCATTTTCTGTGCAATTTTTGTACGAGTATCAAGTTTAAATGATCAATTTAACAAAAGAAAACAGCTGTGAGTAACAAGAGAGTGTTCCTCAAGAAAAGAAAACAGCACGGGAGAAAAAACAAAATTCTTTTTTTCAGCAACGTGTCACAAAACAGCACCAAAAGGGCGAATATGCCAAACACAACCTCCCTACGATTCTCGAGGTTATAAAAGCACCGAGACCTTTCTTTATATCAACGGCCATAAAAGCCGTACATCTACCCAACCCAGGATCCAACGGCCCAAATCTGTCCTCCCAACAAACACTGATTCTAGGGTTTCTTCGATTATACACATTATGCTTCTTCTCTAGTCTGTCTTTTTATCAACAGCTGAGCCAAACACAAATACCCCTCACTTTCTCCACAATTTTCCTTTCGAATTTTCTCGAGAAACAATCATGGTGAAGGGCCCCGGTCTCTACTTGGATATCGGCAAGAAAGCCAGAGGTTCATCCTTTTCATTTTTCTGTTAATTTATTTTTCAGATGAATTGTATTTTCCATTTTCCATTTTTTTTAATCGATATTTTTCTTTTTCGCTGATAAATATGTATTTTTTTTTCCCCAGATCTTCTTTACAAGGATTACCAAAGCGACCACAAGTTCACTGTTACCACTTACACTTCTACTGGAGTTGTAAGCTTCTAGTTTCTTTTTATTTTTTATTTTTATTCCGGTTTTGATGTATTCATTTTTATCCGCGAAAGGAATATGCATCTCATTGTTCGAATTTTTTTCTGTTCGGTTGTTGTGAAAACAGTTGAAACTAGAATAAGAAAGAAATAATATACTGAGCTCCATGCTTTATTTTACTGTATCCAATCGTTTAAAGCTCCTGATGTGTACGGCTGAGCTAAGTTGAGTTTGACCGTCAAATAAAATGCTTACAGTCAACTAATATTCATACATTTTCCGGTTAAACAAATGGAAAGTCTAGTTGTGTGTTGAATGTAGAGGACTGATTGATTGTTTTTAAGCTAAATGATAAATAACCTGTTTGATCGTGGGTAATCCGGAAAAGAGAATAATAATATATGTTGTACTAATGATCTGGATGCTTGCAGTGTATGATTTACATCTAAGTTTATATATTTTAATTCTATCTGACTTTGCTTTCGTCTGCTGTTTTGATTCATTATACTTCTCAAGGCAATCAGTTCAACTGGAATTAGGAAGGGTGACCTCTATCTGGGAGATGTGAGCACTCAGCTGAAGAACAAGAACATCACAACTGATGTAAAAGTTGACACCGACTCTAATGTAAGTCAAAACAGCTTATCACATCTCTATTTGATTTGCCCTTCACCATTGAGCATCTTTTCTTCTCGTGTAAATAAGTCAATGTGTTAACCAGAAACCCGGGGGCCTTGAATTTACTATTGCTTGGTTCACTTGTTGGATTGATGGTACAATGAATTTGTTTGGGTTTGTTTGCTAATGTACATCGAAGCGATGCTCCATGTAATTAAACATGAAAAATTGTTGTATAAAATTTCTGAAGCAGACTTTGTTTTATCATTTTAAGCGCTCTGTTTTTTTCCCCAACTACTAGATAAGACCATAACCACGCTAGGACTGCGTTTGGTTCATGGGAAAGGAGGCTTGGGAATAGGAAATCAATTGCTTTCCCATGTTTCGTAAGTCCATGCATGGGAAATGGTTGCCTGTCACATGGGAAAATAGGGGGAAAATGTAACCCTCCTCTCCCCCCTTGGGTGTCAGTTTCCCTTCCCATGGGAAACTTTGGGAAAATGGGCCAGCATTAAATGCCCATTTTTCATGACCATTTTAACCCATCAACAATTTAGAATTACAATATATCATTAAATGCATTCTTTTTTTTAGAATTACAATATGCAAACTTTGTTTTCCATTCCTACTCAAAACAAACATGGGAAAGGAAATAAAGTGATATCTCATGGTTACTTTCCCTGCATTACCAAACATGGGAAATGAATTTTCCATTTCCCATCCCTTGGGAAATGACATGGGAAGTGATTTCCCCTAAAATCCATTCCATGAACCAAACAGGGCCTAGATGGTGTTAATTCAGCCTTACAGGCCAAAAATTGTTATGAATTTCTTTACTCATTACATAATTTGCTGTTAGTATTGTGTCAAATGAAGGGCATTGATTTTTCCTTCTTGTATGGCTCTTATAATTATGTTGCATGGCTCTATCATCAATTTGTTGTAGCCAGGGTTATGCCTTTAAATGTTTGTATTCTCCTTTGGTTTTTTGCATGTGTAAATTTCATGTGATGAACAGGAAAAAAAGTTATGTGAATGAAGTAATTTGTTTATCTGACTATGAAGTTCATACTATGATATTTTGACTGATAATTGCGTGTTACATGCAGCTTCGCACAACCATTACCATTGATGAGCCTGCACCTGGTCTGAAGGCAATCTTTAGCTTTATTGTACCTGACCAGAGATCTGGCAAGGTAAGAATCACAGTGTCCATTTCTTGACTTATTAGTTAATGTTGTTGAAGATGTGAACATTTATGCTCTTTTGCTGCATGTCATATTGGGTTTGATGTGCATGAGAATCATTGATTTATGGTCCGAACTTGGGTATTTTGTTAAACAGGTGGAGCTCCAATATCAGCATGAGTATGCTGGAATAAGTACTAGCATTGGGTTGACTGCCAATCCGATTGTTAACTTTTCTGGTGTTGTTGGGAACAATCTTCTCTCTCTTGGAACAGATCTTTCCTTTGATACAGCCTCTGGAAACTTCACAAAATGGAATGCAGGGTTGAATTTCACCCATACTGATCTCATTGCTTCCCTTATACTGTGAGTACTTCTTTTAATGCCCAAACAAAAAACTGAAATAGATTTATTTCAGTTGAGTGGTGCTTATTGCATGTGTATGTTCAGGCTGATGTGCTTCTTTGTGTGATCTACTGATATTGTTGATGGATACAGGAATGATAAAGCTGACACTGTTACTGCCTCCTACTACCACACTGTAAGTCCACTCACCAACACTGCTGTTGGTGCGGAGCTCTCCCATAGCTTTTCAAGCAATGAAAACAGTCTCACAATTGGAACTCAGCATGCACTTGACCCCCTAACCACAGTGAAGGGTCGTGTGAATAACTATGGCAGGGCAAGTGCTCTCATCCAGCATGAGTGGCGTCCCAAATCTTTCTTCACCATCTCAGGAGAGGTTGATACCCGGGCAATCGAAAAGAGTGCAAAGATCGGTTTGGCCTTGGCACTCAAGCCATAGAGGCTTAAGCAGGTATCCGTTGCTAATGGGAAGGTGGGTTCTGTTTTTGCATGGTGGAGGGCAATAAGGGTGTAGTTAGATAGAAGAAGAATTTTCTCTGATGAACTTGTAGTCCTATTGTGGTGCTATTCGTTTTTCATTTCATATCTTGGTGGTAATGGGTTGTATAAAATAATTGGCACGGACTGATGTCATATTCCTTCCGTATTTCTGTCCATCCCAATGTCAATGGAGGATGTACTTCAAAGTTTAAACACAAAGTTTTAATGTGGAGTTTCGTCGCCTGATGTCAGAGTTTCATGCACCCAAAGTTCTATCCTCCGAGTCTTTTAATATTTCTCCTCTGGTTCTGCAAATACATAATGACGTTGCACATTCAGGATTAGTTTGAAGCAAGGGTTCAGTTTTGTTTGTGTTACTTGGCTGGAACACAGAGCTGTTTCAACCCTTTTTGAGATCATAATCAAGTTTCAGGTTTTTACGCAAAGACGATCTGACTTTTTCGGTTAATTTGTCTTTGGATCTCACAATCAGATTCTTAAGTGCCTTAACGAAACAGAAAGTGCCGTACGCATTTGTCCGTGTGGACAAAAGGTTCCCATGACCTGACCTTAGTGAAAGGGGAAAAAAGACTAAAGAATATCCAAAGATACAATTTGCGTGAACGTAAATATTTCACAATACATAATGATGTTCATTTTCTTTCTTGTGGAGAACATATCAATCAAGTGGTGATGAAAATGTCTGACATGACTTTTATCTATATAAAAAATAAAAAATTCTTTCTATTGCACACATTTGAAATGCACTTCAAAAAATACCCGTGACGTGTTAGTTGAATTGACGCAGAACTTTATTATGCTCCCAAGTGATTCTGGATTCAAGTCTTTATAGTACCGTGTGTGTGTGTGAGTTTCCTTCAGTTCCCTTTGTAACTTGTTTTTTTTTAAAAGAGGCTCCAAAAAGTGTAATTATTTTTTGACAGGGAAAAACATAAATGCTTTAATAATTCAATCCACAGAAACAAACAAGACGCTCTTAAATATCTATTTGACCCGTAGCCGTAGTCGAAGTCGGCACGCTTGCTCACCAAAAAGCAAAGGACTGGGCAGGCTTTATTCTTTTATTTATTTATTTTATGGGGTTTCCGAAATTGGGATGTTCTTGCTCGCCAAAAAGAAAAAGGTTGGGCAGAATTTTCGTCGTTGAAAATAAAAATGTCACTAAAAAAATAACGAGCTAGTTTATATTATGTATATTATTCGCATACATTCAGCATGGTTTTTACAACAACGTTGATATATAATATAAAAATAAAAAAAAATTGAAAAAATAAAATAAGTAGAGTTCCACCTCTCTCATTCCTTCACTAATAATGCCCATAAATTTCGTTTCATTTCCTCAGTCTCATTGGCCGTGGCTCAAACAATGTCGACGGTTAGAATAGAGCCTCTTCTCCACTACTATCGCAGAGAAAAACCCAGCTACCGTTCTCCATCGAAGTCATTCAAGCTCAGCTCTTTGAATGCTTTGCCTAAGAAGCTGGTCTACAATGGCCGGAGCTTCTGCAACTTCGAGCCTCCCACTCCCAGGGCTCTCACTCTCAGAGCTGCCTCTACCGACACAGCTACAGTCGAGACCTTTGAATCCACCGACCTCTTCTTCAAGGAGACCTTTCCTCTCAAGCGGACTGAAGTGGTTTGAGCTTTTCCTTTCTGGGTCGTCGTCTTTTTCTGTTGGTTTGTCGAATCTGTTTGTATTGTATTCGGGGAAAAGAAACTATTGAGATTGAATTTGAAAGTACGCAAGAAAAGAGACTGTTGAGCTTGAATTTGAAGCTCTGCAATTTCTCTTGATGAACAGTGTTTCCAAAGCTGGAAACTTGTAGTGGTGTTCGTTTATTTCTTATAAATTTTACTCTTTCCTCTGTTTTCTCGGCGACCATACAGAGCGTCAAGTTTTATTTATGAGTTTAGCGATGTCTTATTTAGTCTACTTGAACTTGTAGGTGGAGGGGAAGATCTTTGTCAGATTAGATCATGGGAAGAATGCCAAGAATTGGATGCTGACCGTTGGTTGTAGTCTTCCTGGAAAATGGGTTCTTCACTGGGGAGTTTCTTATGTTGACGACGTTGGCAGGTAAAGCTTCCACTTAATGTTAGATTGCAATTACTCTCTCTCTCTCTCTCTCTCTCTCTCTCTCCCTCTCCCTCCATGGTGTTATACTAATCTCATAATAACTTAAAGAATGCATATATATATATATACATATATTTTTTTGCAGTGAATGGGATCAACCTCCTAGTGAAATGAGGCCACCTGGTTCAATTCCCATCAAGGTATGTATTGGGTTCTTAAGTTTGATTGCGGAGCTCCGTTCAATATGAATTTGAAATAGATGTGGAATTTCAGGACTATGCAATAGATACACCCTTGAATAAATCAGCGTTGCCCGTAGGAGGTGATCAATCTCATGAAGTGAAGATTGATGTTAAACCCAACAGTGCAATTGCAGCGATAAATTTTGTTCTCAAGGTTCTAATTTTCAACTATTAGCAGTTGAGAATTTCGTCCTTTTATGTTAGATATGCAGGCTGTTATAATGTTATGCATCTTTTAGTGAGAATTTCTGCCCTTGTTGGGGGGTTTTGGTGGTGCAGGATGAAGAAACTGGTGCTTGGTATCAGCATAGAGGGAGAGATTTTAGAGTGCCTCTTGTGGACTACCTGCAAGAGGATGACAATGTGGTTGGAGCAAAATGGGGCTTGGGCGCATGGCCAGGTTGTCAAAGCCATTCTATTCTCTGGTCTACTTGATTTATTTTGTTTGTAATACTGTTGGATAGTTTACACTTTCCAACGATTTGCAGCCTGAACCAATTTGTGATTTTCCAAGAAACGGTGTAACAAAATCCTGGAGGAGTGATGAGTGCCCTAGTTAAACATAAGAGTGAAACTGACTCCCTTGTTTCTATACATCTTTAAAAAAAAAATTGAGGACAGGACCCACTTTCAAAACAGACTAGTAAGTTCAACATGTATAAATGATTCCTTGTCTAGTTATTCTTGTAGTTATATACTGAAATGGAAAGCAGGTGTTGTTTAGTAGCATGAATTCTTCCTGAATTTATCTAGTGTGAATTTATGTCAATGCCAATAGTTGAGCCAAGTGGCTGTCTCGCAGTCACTGCTACTAAGTTGTAGAGCCCAAACATGCCCACTCTTGTCGGCTGTGGAGGTGGGTTATGGGTGGTTGGTTTATGATCTTCAGTTTTTCTCCAGAGTTATCCATCTTGAACTGAAAGAAAGTTGCTTGTCTCCTTTTCAATTTTAGGAGCTTTGGGAAAGCTATCAAATGTGTTTGTCAAAGCAGAATCATCGCACTCCAAAGATCAAGATAGCAGCAATGAATCCAGAGACCCTCAACAGAGAACTAGGCGTGTAGAAGAGTTCTATGAAGAACTGCCTATTGCAAAAGAAATTGCTGTGAATAATTCGGTAACTGTTTCTGTAAGGAAGTGCCCTGAGACAGCTAAGAATCTTCTATGCTTAGAAACAGATTTGCCTGATCATGTTGTTGTTCACTGGGGAGTTTGTAGAGATGATACTAAAAGATGGGAAATTCCAGCTGCCCCACATCCACCAGAAACAGTAGTATTCAAGGACAAGGCTTTGCGGACTCAATTACAGGTTTCTATGACCTTTTCTTTTCTTTTCTATTCCCTCCCCTTTCTCGTGCGATTATTTCTTTGACGGTTTTGTTTTTTTTTTTTTTTTTTTTTTTTTTTTTTTTTTTTTATATAACATTGAATATATGTATACCTCTTTTAGATACTATCACACAATGTTACTATTCTAATTATGGGATCACTGTTATTCTCTCTTTTTTTTTAATTTTAGATTTTTGCTCAAAGAAACAATTTCTAATACTTTTGCAGGACAACATAATAACTGGAGATCAAGGAGTTGAGTGCAAGTTTGTGCTCACTTGATCATGCACAAATATGTGCCTTTTAAATTTCTACTTAAATTACTAATTAGGTCATCATCTTTGAAGATCAGGAAACTCATGCTACATTGTTAGTTTTAGTTAACTCTTCAGGCATACAAATACCTTTGTGTTGGTTGGAGCATGATTTTGAACAATGGAGACATGGGATTGTTTTTGAGAGCATTTATATGATCAAAATTCAAAACCCAATCTGAAGATATTGTTAGCAGTTCAGTGCACACGTACTTGGTGTACATTATTTAGATGATAGAGAAATGGTGAATGCTTATAAGTTCTGGCTATAATCATCTTCATGCTTGCAATTGTTTGGTTAATCATTAATCTTAAATTTACTGTCATTGTACTATATGTTCTTCTCCAGAAAAAAAACTTTAAAATCAAGGTTTCCTAGTTGTGTTGTGCCTACTTGAGAAATTTTCAATTAAGCTGATCAATAATGGATTATTTTCTAGATCAATTTTGTTATTTTCATGGGTATCCTTTTTTGTTTGGTCGAATTCTCATGGGTATCCTGTGTGCAGCAAAAAGAGGGTGGAAAAGGATGTTGGGCATTGTTTACTTTGGAAGAAGGACTCGCAGGATTTCTTTTTGTTTTCAAACTAAATGAAAGTACGTGGTTGAAATGTGCGGGCAATGACTTCTACATCCCTCTGTCCAGCTCAAGTCACTCAATTGCTCTACCAAGAGAGGTTCCATCTGAAGATGCAAAGGTACCTGACAGTAGTACAGAAGCAGTTCAAGAAAAAAAATTTACTGCATATACCAATGGAATAATAAATGAAATAAGGAACTTGGTGAGTGACATTTCCTCTGAGAAGAATCAAAGGACAAAGTCCAAAGAAGCACAAGAAAGCATTCTTCAAGAAATAGAAAAATTGGCTTCCGAAGCCTATAGTATCTTCCGAAGCACTGTTCCAACTTTCACAGAGGAAGCAATTTCAGAGACTGAAGAATTGAAAGCCCCTGCCAAAATAAGCTCAGGGACAGGC